GGGTGGCAACTTGATGCTTACCGCTGCAGTGAGTTGTCTGCTCTGGCCGCTCCATGCGACAGATTTTTCCTCACCGTCCATCAACATATCGCATGTCGGGGTCACCACTTTAATACAGACATTTACTAACGATATGGCAGATGGTGTTTTAGTTGCCAGCTGGTTTAATACCATGTGAGAAATCTGACTTTTCATGCAAAATTACATGGCATGAACTGAAAAAAATACATGAGACTGGGAAATAACAAGTAAGCAAACTTTGATCTTACATTTCACAAGTTTATCTAATGAGGTGCACTCACAATAACTTGGCTACTACATATGCACATATTGATAGTTTACATTTTGTTTTCCTGTGGACTTCTTAGTACCAAAAAACAGACTCCTCTGGTTTAAGACTCCTATGTTTGAATTTACCCTGTACGAATGTTGAATAGAAGTCAAGTTTTAAATTGACAGTATAACAGTGATCAACTGCGATTGAAATGCCTTTTCTTTCAAGGTAACCATTTACCATTTTGTCCTCCACTGGACTGGCTCATACCATAGGTACTGGTGGGGGGGGATGAGCACGGCCCCCCTTCCTCGCCAAAAGAAAAAAAAATAGAATGGCAAAGCCGCCATGGCTCGCTGCTTGTTATGAATTTGAATTTCTTTCCTGTAATAGCAGCTTATGTTTAGAGACATCTAAGTTATACAAATATGGTTACTAAATTAAACAGGAAAAGACTAACCAAGCTTCATCAAATATTTTACAATACTGGTTGACATATGACAATACAGATGTACAAGATATTTCATTGACCTTAGAGATAAAATTCATGACACTCCAGGAGAAAAAAACCTATTTAGTGCTGTGTGCTGACTGTGTGTTGAAAGGCACTTGTGGTTTAAAAGTGAATCAACAAAGACCACAAACAAGGGAAATACACATACAAAGACTTCATACTGTATTTCTTTACAGGAGAGAGGAATACCTGAAGAATTTGGGTCCAGTACAGTCAGACTAGACCTGGAGCCTAGTTAAGCAGTGCATTTGTGAGTTTGATGGATGGAGCATAATTCAAATTCCTCTTAAGTGTAGTTCTGCATTTTGCATCCAACCCCATCATCCTATCCTCTACAATTCTACCCCCCACCATTCCATATCCCATATCTGCCATGTCTACTTTGACTCCATCCCTAATCCCATCTATCTCCAATCTCACATCCACCTTATCTCCTACTCCACCTCATCATTCCATTCATCTTCTACTCTGCCCATCCCTGTATCGCAACACTTGGGTTGCTACAGTATATGATACGTATCGCGTTACCTATCATAAAAATAAAGGAACCAGTAAGACAAAAACCAATTTAAAGCAATTCACTTGGTAACTTACCAATAGTAACTTACTAATGGTAAGCTTATAGGTGATGAGAACAAGAAGCTTCTGTAAGGTGAATCACAAAATTAAACAGAACTGCATTTATTTCCTCAAGTGTTTCTGGTTTGTTAATATCAGGCTGAACAAAATAGTAGTTATGCTTCCTATTACACTGAAAAAAAAAGGTTGGGTAGGTTGGTAATATCTTTTTTTGGTCAAAAGTTTTTGGGTCAAAAGTTTTTGGGTCAAAAGTTTCAGGCTCAGAAATCTTCTTTTAAATAAAAAGGGATTTTGATGGTCTGTGGTGTATTCCATCCACATTTCTTTCTTTGGATTCGTAACTTGAGGATCAGTACTGTCAAGGATTGTATACAAGTGTATACAAGTCAGAGCCTCTTCAGACAATTATACATTTGTGTTACAGTGACATGCCAATAAGTTAATATCCAAAAATTGTTTGAAAGCTCATACAAAACGTCACACACATAACAATGCATGACACAATCACTTTGCGCGCCCCGCGTCAGTTGTCACGAAACCCTCCATCGTTGAAAGCGATAATATTCTTATCTTATTATAAGTCGTAAATTCAAGTAACAGTAGAGATTGTTAGTCACAACTTCCGCTCATACACGAACGGCTGTAATGAGTCCCATTGATACAGGTAAGAATACTGATGTTTCATTGACAGCCAATCACAACACAATGACCAGATGGTCCCAAGATGCTGTTTACACACAAGGCTTGCGCTCGCACTTTGAGCCCAGCCATACACGTACATGTGCGCACATGCTTATATGTGTAGATTCAGTCTAGTCATGAGCATCACGGAGCTCCAGTAGATACTACCGCGTAGAAATATCAGCGCTTACGCAAGGCAGAAAACCTTTCTAAACCTGATAAACTGGTGTGGTTTAACAGATGAAAGGATAAAGTCAGATATGCATCCAATTTTCTCATGACACCGAGATCGGTGTGAAGGTTTGGCCACGCCATTACATCCATGATGCTGCCTGACCATCACTTCTGCATTCTATTGCCAGGTACGTCATGTACGTTCAGCGAGTTATCCGTGAGTTATCCGTACATACACATGCATGTACTACAGGGTAAGTACACAACTCAGCTTTTATATTTTGTTCATTAAATTCATAAACTCTGCTTCAAAGCATTAACCACTTCCTGCCGGGGACTCCAGAATCGGAGACGTATGGTTTGTATGTGTGGCCGGGGTCTCCGAACTCGGACAAAGGAAACAGGGCCCTGTAACAAAAGACCGTACTCCGAACAAAAGACCAGGATGCTGGGCATTACCAACATTTTTCGCTCTCAAAAGTGGTGATAGATAATCCAGCCTTGTTTTGAAACCGTATACCAGGGTTTGGGGCATTGAGAGCAAGTGGATTACCACCGGTGACAAAAGCGCTCGTGCACCGCTNCAAAAGACAGTTATACAACACCACACAATCTAGGCTCTGTTTACAAGGCTGCAGGCCTGGCTGAAATACTTGGGCGTCAATGAAGGTTACCAGTCAACTTGCCTAAAGATTACTTCGTGCGGCTATAAGCGACCGTTAAATGAAATGATGAATTTTTGAAGGATTTTGAAAACAGATAGTCATGCCGGCTCAGCATCATCAACATTGAAAAATGCCCCAGCATGAAGTGGTTAAAGAGATCATTTTACGTAATTTATGTCCATCAGAGAGGGGGGTGTCATATATCTGCCTTTGACAGGTATATGTAGTGTTACCAAACATAAAAAAATCAAGTTATCAATTTTTATCAACCTAGCTGTAACAAGTTTGAGATCATTTGCTTCTGTCAAGTACGTGTATGTTGCATTTCCACTGAGTCTCTATGGGCACGTCTTTTGATTTCCAAACAATGTCCGCGTTCCGTATGTATACATACCTTTACCTTTTGCAGAAATAAAGAATTGAAGTATATTCAATGGGCTTATGTAAAGATCATACACCTATCACAAAGATTTTGGACTATGCTGTTTATTTTGTGTGTAATTTCAATCGGCAATAGACAAAAAAATTACCCTTTTCAGCTAGTACTATTTGGCTGCAGCCACGTTGCAACTTTGGTGATCTTTTCAATACATTGGATTTTGGCTTTTCTGTTTTCCCAGACATCAGTGTTAAGCAGAAGGCGCCTTCTCCTAATAAACAGCCAGTTGCAAAGAGACACAAGGGTGGTAGCAGTTGGCCTTCAGTAGCAAAGCTCTTCCCAGGGATCGTTGATGAGGCAAGACGATTTGTGGGGAAAAATGGCTACGCAGCCAGTTATACCAGGCCTAGTTGACCTACATGTAAATGGCACTTTTAATAATTTTACACATTAAACTAACATTTTAATTACTGGTTTACATGTTGCCTCTAAAGATCTTTAGATTGAAATAGCAGGCCATAATGAGTTGTACATCAAAATCATCCAGGTCTTTCCAGCCACCAGTAGCAGTTTGCAGTAGTTTTTATCATTATTAGTCTATATAACAAAGGCCCCAAAATAGTTCCAATTCAGATTGCATACCGGAATATAATCTGGATTTCCTTTTGGCCCTTCTTTGCTGACTGAAAGGGGGAATCAACTACATGTACATACATGTATGTATTCAGGCACAACACTTCGCCCAATTCAAGGGGGTGGCACACAGGGAACTGGCAGCATTGCAAACGTATATAATTATGTACCTCTTGTACGTGTGTGTACTGTAAGCAAGCAGAGAAGAAATCACATTTAGCCTTTTTGTTAAACAAGATTTCCAAACAAAATTCTCAACTATTTCGAGAAATGATAAGCAGTGTTCTCCACAAGGGGTTTAAATGGACGTGCAGACCTGCAAAAATTGCATGCCCTCCCACTAAAATTTTTATGACAGATATTACAACCAACATGTGACATCCAACAGCACAATACATGCTACTTTCTCCTCTTGCAGAACATGTGTACAGGCCCAGTGCTGCAGTCTGGGGCAAGTGTCTACAGGAACTACATTGTACTCACCATCAGTGCTTACCAAAGCATTTTGGTGAATTGTTCATGTGAATAAACCAAAGAAGTCTTGTGTGATTTCTCCGCCTCAACCTGATCCAAGTCATGCTCCTGCACCAGAACACAACATCGCTTTAGAGCACCGCCACCATTGATGACGATGACAGCGACTCAGAGATTGATGAAAGTGACAAGTAATGTTCACTGATTTCGACTCATTGAACTTGAAAACTCCATCAATTTAACATCACGGGGCCAGTGTATGCTCAAAACTTGCTTGCACTGGACACACATCAAGTACTGTTGCAGTGATGCATCCCTCTCTCAGCAAGGCACACATTTTTTGTCACATATTGTCAGTCTCCCATGCTTCCAATTCACAGAGGATTAAATTTTATCAGTGCAGTTTCCTTCTTTTGTCAGGAGATTTCCCAGGGAAAAATATAAGCCATTTTTCAGTTCACGCATGATTATTATTTTGCCAAGTAAATTATGGTTAGTGAAATAATCTCCACAGTAAGCACTAGAACATGTTGTTTGTTTCAGTTTTAGAAATGAATGGAAGTGTGTTCAGTTTAACACATTCGCCAATTTATTAATTTTATGTTTAATGAAAAATTAACATAGGACAGTTGGGAAAAAAATACAACACAGGGAAACTTTAGAGTTGAAAGCAAATAAACACCTGCAATAGTTTTATCTTTATTTCTAATCTGAAATTAATTTGAAATTTAAAATAATTTCAATATTTTGCAAGGTAAAATAAACAGATTAATTTGGAAAAGAGGACTTCCCAAAATACAGGATGAGATGAAGCCCCACAAGACGTGCCGCACGGCAACATTTATTTCATGCATGACTTTACTTGTGCACCGTACCTCTGTATAACCCTCGAAAACAGGTCACAGTCAGCCACGGTTGGTGCGTTTGTGACAGCATTGGAGATTACTTTGTTGGGCTAAATCTGTGAAGGTCATCCACTTTTAATTGTAGTTTTCCAACTGCATGTAACTTAGGGAAGGTGATTAGGACATTAGTTGATATGTTGCATTTTAATTAATTTTTTTTTAAATTAAAGGAAAAGTTTTATTCCCTAAAAACTGATCTCTGATGAATACACAGGATTGGGCACTCCAGAGAGGAACGTGGTAGGACTTGGCACTCTGGTGAGGCAGCTGGTAGAACCAGGTGCACTGGCAAGGAAAGTGGTTGGGCTGGACGCTTCGGTGAGGCATGCGGTGAGAACGAGTGTTCCGGTGAGAAACGTGAGGGGTCTTGGTGCACCAGTGAGGCAGGTGGTAGAACTGGGCACACTGGCGAGGAAGGTGGTTGGGCTGGGTGCTTCGGCGAAGCAGGCGGTGAGATTGGGCGCTCTGGTGATGCAGGTGGGGAAACCAGCTGGTCCTTAACTGAATTGATGAGTGAATCGTCATCGTCAGATGAAAGTCTGGGTCTCTTTTGAGCTGTAAAAAAAAGTGCAAAAACTGTGAGAAGTTTTTCTGCAATGACCCTAAATATCTTTCTCATGAATTGTTCTGAATACAATATGGCATATGTTCAGGAAATTGTACAGTTAATGACCCTATTCCAAGGCACGAACGAGTGCTGTATTATAGAAAATATATTTTATGCCGGGACTTATAATTGGAGAGCATAAATGTAGAAACTGCCAAATTATAACACTCTGATCCTGTGTGTGCAGCTTAGCCAATGTTTGGAACCCTAATCTACTTAGCAAGTTTACCAAATTCAGAAAGATTTCATGAGTGCACATTTTCAGACGTTTGTTTAACAAAATGCAAGAAAATAACAGAGCATTAAAACTTACCTTGGCCTCCGACGATACGAGCCTTGTAGATTCCAGACTTGTACGTTATGGAAACTATGCCACCTTCTTGCAGAGGGTCCCTCTCCTTGACCCGGCTTCTCGTCATGGTTTCAATAACTCCGGCATAAAGTAGCAGAATTATTCACAAAATCTGAACGGTACAGCTAGCCATGATATTACAACAGGGTGTACAGTATCCGGAAATGAGCTCAAATGTGACCAGCTTCATTTCAAGTATCTTATAACCTTGGAGAAGCACCACGAGTATCTTTGAGTCCAAGGCTCTGTCAATCACAATTCCAAAATGAATGGCTGTTGGGCTTTAACAAAAAGATGAAATACATGTACATACTGATTATCAAATAGTACATCAGTACCACAGTTGCAAAATGAATGGATGACTGGCTTCAATGTAAAGATGAACAGGTTCAAGATCCAGGTTCATTGTGCCGATAGATGTGCGTGGACCATAACAAATGTCTAAAGGGTTGCCATTATTGATTGGTCTAAAAAGAAACCGACTTTCACCCTGGACTTCATCACTTCAAAAAGCATTAACAGTACAATAGCAATTAACGAGCATCGAGCTTTCACTCAAGAATTCCTTGGAATATGTTTCCCTGATGATGCAATAATTCCTGAATAAAGAATGTCAGTCTCTTGATAACATAGTTCCAGATGAAAGTGTATCAGCAACACCTAAATATTACCAAACGCTTGAAATGCCCAAGCATAATTATTGTTTACCTGCATCACAAAGACTCCTGATACAATACAGTTTTTGGGAATTACTGCTGAAATCTTGCACATTTTCTCCTGACAGGCTTCTTTGCCCGCTAGGTGCCACTATTCAAGTTGAAATTGTGATATGATTTTCGCATTCTAGAAGTTATGGAATAGTTATATACTGATCTCTGAATATCTTGTTCAAAATATTTAGCCTTTGTAATTTATCTAAAAATAGGGACTATTATAAACATCTCTATTTACTCAAGATTAAACTAAACTACTCTATATTCCCGTTTCATAATTCTATTTCAGAGTTTAGTGTTTTGTGAATTCCACAAGGGAATGTGTTGAATTATCAGAAAACATTTTTTCCAACCTCAAGATCAACCCATATGTGCACTAAGTGGAAATTCCTTTCTTCGTTTGAGTCTTGACTTTGGCAGTATGATGAGACACAAAGTGTCCATGCTGGATGAAGAAGTGTTCAGGCCGGACGATTTCAGAAACAAGAGCACAACTGTTTCACCACGGATCAGCATGTTGCTGTTCATAAAAAAATATGAAAATGTTTGGGGCATCTTTCAGCCGGCTGAACTTCAATGCTGATATAGACCACTGATACACTTGCTGTTCGTGGCCTTTAAAATTCCTGTATTCAAGTTCATACATTGGGGAAAATTGAGAATTCTTTCACCAAATCAACATGTATGCCTAGGAATGTTTTGCCCCAGGTACCACGCAACAAAATTACGTTGGCAAAAAAAAGTTATGTGCATTTTGACCAGCTGTCATCACTAAACCACCCAATCATTGATGTCAGGAGTTCCAAACTCAGATTATAGCATAATAGCTGACCATTAATGAACAAGCCATTCTGATCGCAGTTTGGCCAGGCTCTCTGGTACACACAGGTCTTTGATTCAGCTGTTTTGATCGCGGACTTTCCAGTTGACATTGATATTTAAATCTGACCTAAATTTGGGTAGGGCATTCTGAATCCAGAGTGAACGGAATATTCATGTTTGCAGATTTACATACACTGTTCTTGCCGCGTATAGTCGTCATTGTCAAATACTCTTTTGTTAAAATAAATTCACGGACACCAGCGGACCTCCCCTGGGAAAAACGGTCAGGCCTTACTGGTAAGCCCCCTAAATGCCCCTCCTCAATGGACAGTGCCTGTAATTCACTCGACTAGCACAATGTTACCATTGTTGGGAGGAAAGCTGATTGTTTGAATGGTACTTCACAACGCGTTCCCACTTGAATTGGGAAAAGGTGGATCTTGATCCAGCATTTTGGTGTGATCGTTATCTTACCGCAACGAAACCGCAAGTCGCGTTCCCACTAGCGCTTGATCCACCTTTTCGGATGGAAATGTCGAGCCCGGAAGGTCATTGAGTTTAGTATTGCACATGTGCTAGCTTGCTGAGTGCGCTCTCTGTGGCAGTGTGGCGTGCTGGGACGGCATGCCTGTGACCCTGCAGTGTTTTGGGTGCGGAGTTCTACTGACGTGACAACCTTGAATCGGACAGAATGTTCAGCCTAGTACATTGTCTCTTCAAACTTTGCTTCTGTTTTTGATACTCTGTCACATGCTGTGGGCTATACGCTAACAAGGAATTAGTTTTTGATGGAGAGCAAGTGAAATTACACAAATGAAAAAGGTTAAGAAACGAACAAATGCGCAACGAAAATTGTGAAAGGGCAAGGCATGCATCGCGGCATGCATGCATTGGCATGCGTGGTGACACATTTTGCTAGCCCATAGTTCAGCAGTCTTTTATTGTGCATGCTGTGCACGTTAAAAAATTCACATGACCTACATGCCAAAAAACGTATTTCTTTGTTCATCAGACCGCAAAAGTTTCGCACCACTCGTGCACAGACTTGTGTTCCAATCCGATCGTGATCCGCCATCGCAGGATCTGATCCACCAATTGGGGGATCTGTATCCTGCTCCAGAGGAGGATCAAAATAGGTGGATCTGATCCTGATTCACGTTATAACGGTTAGCGCTCCCACTACACACAATTGCTGGATCTGATCCACCAATTGGGGGATGTGATCCGGCAATTTGGCACAAGGTGGATCAGATCCCCCAATTGGTGGATCAAGTGGGAACGGGCTGTCAGTGAGCATCTGGAGGACCCATCCTAGGTCCTATGATAGATTGTAATGATGATTAAATGTTTCAATGCTTGGCTATTCAAGTTGGGTGGAGCCATCAGGAAAGAAGCTATGGACAGCTGCAATGGCAGAAAGATACTTGGGCATTTTCACCACCATAAGGCGTGAGTTGAAGAGGTACAGCAGAAATTCGGCCACTGCAGTCACAGATGTTTTGCTCCATCCAGTGAATGTTCCCTGCCCTATGAAGTAAAACACCTTAATCTACTATCATATATTTTTCTGGTCAATGCTTTTATTCCCACATGGCCATGGCAGCAGTATTTCTTGGAAGGCCTGCTGCTTAGAAGGTTTGCTGTGTAACAGTCTGCATGTTAGGTGCAGATCCCCTGGTTCTGGATGTAGAATGCCTCGATAGAGAATTTCTGATCAGCAAGGAAGAATCAGTGGTTGTTGGATTTGGAGCCTGGTCAATCTCTAAAACCATACTTGTGACAGAAAGGGGGTGATGAGAAGAACACGGGTGGGTCTCGTTCAATCCTGGCCAGTACCTTGGCGAGTAGTTGTGCGGGGGAGAGGAAGGCATAGGCAAAACTACCGCCCCAATCTACTGTCAGCACATCCATTACCCATATCATTGGGTGTGGAAATACTGCTAGAGTGCCATTTTCTGCTGAGGCAAACAGGTAGATGTGAGGCCTGTCCATGACTCAAGAGGCTGTGTCATTTGTAATGCAGGATCCACATAGAGGGGATGACTGCCCCTCTTGGAAAGGGTATTTACCAGCCTATTCTCAGGACCTGTATATTGCTTGAAGTTCCAGGATATTGACATGAATTCCCTAGAACTGTGAGTCCCACTGTCTTGATGTTTAGAGGTGGGAAGACAGGGTGGAGACCTCAGTAGTGATTGTTTACTCAAGTTTTGCCAGTGGAAAAGGCAGGCTGCATTTTACATTCTGACTGCCTGCCCACCAATGGAGATGTGGTTGGATATGAACTCAATGAGATATAACTGGTCAATACAGTCCCATTTGGGGTGATAGCATGGTAACAGGAGGAACTGATCCGCCAGACTTGCCATTCGCCCAAGTGAGCAGAGCCATGCTCTTGCTGGCACTTTCTGATTCGAAAAGAACACTTCTATTCTCTGTTGAAGATTAACGATACACTCTTAGTCAGGGTTGCTATGCTCAGTGTGAGGCCAAGTAGGTTTGATTTTTCATGGTTAATAATAAATCATACTAAGGTTGTTATGTTGTAAGTATGGTGTATTGCTTACACGGTCTCAGTTATCGACCACTCAACTACTAACCAGTCATTCAAGTATCGAAAGATCATGCTGTTGATGTGGAGGTAAGCTGCAACTACTTTTGCTACTCGCATGAACACCGTAGGTTAAATTGAAAACCTGAAGGGAAGTGCGGAGAAAAGTTTGTTCCTTTTTGGGTGAGGAAGAACATCGTCAGGAACCCATGCTTAAGTTGGCTGGGTTGAATCTGAAGGATGATTTTTTTGGCATCTCCAACTCCAATGCCAAGTGTTGGTCCTTTTTGCGTGGAATGTGAATAGCATCTAGGGCTTTAGGTCTGAGGGTAGAAGTTGCAAGACAGAAGATTCATATGAATTGCTCGAATGCCATGGAGGGCTAAGGCCGCGAAGTGTGGGGTTACCGGAGAATTCTCCTCAAATGCACAGGCTAGATACTCCATCAGAAGGAGCAGAAAGGCAGTGCATTGTAGCCCAAAACAAAAAGCTTTGTTACATCTTGTAAGCCAAGATTTCAGGGGGGGGGACTTGTCCTTATCTTGGAAGATCCATTTTGAGGGTGCTTTTCCTGAGTCAGCGGTAATTCTGCCTTTAGCTACATCAGGTACTTCTGGAACCGACAGGAAGTTGTTGAAGTCTTCTGCCGCGAAGTGGAAGAATGATGCAACTCCATTGGGGAGAGCACGCTAGCATTTGGCCTTGGCTAGATGCAACTCCATTGGGGAGAGCACGCTAGCATTTGGCCTTGGCTAGATGCAACTCCATTGGGGAGAGCACGCCAGCATTTGGCCTTGACTAGAGACTTTTCCACGCATAAGCAGTCAAGCAGTAGCTCTGGAAAGATTGACCCAAAAGATTGCAGTCGTGCTGCATGTTGTTTAAATAAAGCGTGGCTGGCATCTTCTTCTGGCAGTGAGGCTGATGCTATGCAAGAATTTGAATCATGTCATATTGGACAAGACAAAGGGAGCTCTTGGAATGAGTGAAACCACTGATGGAATT